GGGTGATTGATCACCAACAGCCATCAATAGCCTCGGTACCTCATTGTCCACACATGCATCTATCTGATGAGTGAGAATGCGCCTTCGCACCCAGCTCATTTGAGACAGTCACCCAAGTGGTCCTGGCCCATGTCTCCATGTGGAGCCCCAATTCTCCCACCTTCCCTCGCCGCACGGGACAAGCGCATTGTGAGCGAAGCACAGTAAGATTGTCGTCATCAAGAGCACTGTGCTGCCAGCCCGAGTTTCTCTCCCTCGAGAGCCTCGTTCTGCGCTCCCGGGGCAGCGGCGAATGCCCTGCTGCAACCGTTGAATGGTGCGCTGCACTGTTACTAACCGCCACCTGCACGAGCATCGCCGAAAGCTTCGTGGATTTGTGCAGGAACTACCAGATCCTTCTCATCAGGCAGTCAGGCTTCCAAGGTGACAGTCGTTTCGGCGAGAAGCTGAGAAAAAGCAACCCCAAGACAGTCCACCATTCACACCATTCTCCATTGCACAGGTGCTGTCTCCACCGCGCTTGTCGACCGGCGCTGGTCCCCGTCAGCATGGGCATGGGGCTGCCGCCTGCAGTTTGCAGGGGCTGCCGCTCGCACTGGGCGCCTCCCGGTCATTTCCCAACTCCGTCCACCCCACACTCACTAAGCTCGCAACCTTTCATTTGCTGTGTTTTGTCCTGTTTTTCAAAGTTTCCCGGGGGATGCCGCGAACACTTGTGCCCTGACCACTGCTTCATCTCAATCTTGGTGCACTGTCCGGCCATTATGGAGACAGGAGACTGATTTGTTTGAGCCCTATTTGCTGACGATCGTGGGAAAAGCAACAGGTTATTACTCCGTGACACCGTGTTAGCACGATACTGTGATATCTGCCCAGGAGCCGGGAGCTAGAGCGATCGCACAACGTCCAGCCAGCCAGTTTACAGACGGCAGAGGTGACATTTGACAGGCCTGTTGAGCAGCGTCGGTACGCCCAAAAAGGCGCACGGATAAGCTTGTGTCAACGCACCCAAGGACCCTGATTCCAGATGTAGAGAGGTAAGAAAACATTCGTCGCAACACCCTAAGACCCTCCCAGGAACATTCCAGTGCATTGTCACTATTGCACCGGTCGCTGCAAGTGTCTTGTCCTCGACACAAACTCGAACGTCAACCGGCGTCAACAATCCCAAGCCCCGGCGTCCGGTTCTCATTAGTGCATTTCGGCTCGCGACAGTGTCAAGCTTCGCACCGAAGAAGCCCCTTGCCCCGGTTGCTCTCACGCCTCCCGAGATGCCGCACTGTACAAGTACTGCATCGTATGTACAGATTACGCAGTGGCACGGGTGGTGGTGTTGGGAACATCAGCTGCAGGTGGTGCCGCTACCGTAGCGGAGCTGCTTGCTCTTCTGTGCTCCCATGTTTTCCACCTTCCCCCCTTCGGCAGCCACCAAACCCCCCTACCACCACACCCCCTTTGCTCTCCAAAACGACAAGACGCCCCCCGGCCCTCGTTTTTTAAACTGTCTGGCCTTGGCCCGCTGCCTGTGTGCTACCACCTCACTATCCTCTTTTCAATCATTCCGCAGTCACCCAAGCCTGATCAGTCGAGGTCCTAGGAACTGACATATTTGCTCGTTTCTTTACAGGGAATTTCGAAACCAAATTCGTATTCGACTTGTTGAGATCCAGGCGACATCTCTTCCTAAGTCAATCTTCAAGTCGCGTCCAGAGACTGGCGCGTTCCCTATTTTTTTGCCGTGCATCCACCGCCGATACTTCCACCTGGAGATCAGTGCCCACCGAGCGCGTGCCATTACTCGCCAAATACCGTGGACGCCCCCCTCCCCCCCATTGTCAGACAAAGCAAATAAAAATTGATTCCTCGCTTCCCTTCCCGGGCACACCAGACTCGATCCAGCGCAGCGCCCAACCAGGTTTCTGCGACAATCACCTACAACAGAGCCTCCTCCGCTCAACGCCAGATCAAGTATAGGCCGTCGGCACCACACTCAAAACAGCATCTCCACCAAACTGCCATTTTAAGCCTTTGGTGATACCATTAAAGACAACATGGCCGACCTCACAGATCAGCACGATCAGACCTCACCCACCGAGCTTGAAGATCCCGCCGGAAATGGCACTGCCGAAACCCGCGGCGTCAAACGTCCCCGCCCGGCTGCCGCCGATGACGACGACGACGATGATGAGAAGGGTGGACGCGAGCGGCGCAAGATCGAAATCAAGTTCATCGCGGACAAGTCGCGTCGGCATATTACGTTTTCGAAGCGCAAGGCTGGCATCATGAAGAAGGTGAGAGGAACCCCTCAGTCAGCAACGATGCATGCGGGTCCTAGGAGCTCGCGATATTACTGCACATTCAGTGGAGTGTTGTCGGTGCCAATGGCACGACGAATGACGTTTGTGCTAACTTCAATTCGCGGAGCAGGCTTATGAATTGTCCGTCCTCACCGGTACACAGGTGCTACTGCTTGTGGTGTCAGAGACAGGCTTGGTCTACACCTTCACAACGCCAAAACTTCAGCCGCTCGTCACCAAGGCCGAGGGAAAGAATCTGATCCAGGTATGTGCTGCACAGCGTTGCACGACGTTTTCTGGGTTAGGTACAAAGCTAACAGTGTTGCACACAGGCATGCCTCAACGCGCCAGAGCCCAGCCAAAGCAATGAGAACGGCGTTGACGACTCCAATCAAGTCGAGTCGCCAGAGGAGCCACCCAATAGCCACCTGCAGCAACAGCAACAAGGTCGATCAATCCCTCAAAATCCTCACATGCCCCCCGGTTACATGCCCAACGTCGGCCCAATCGACCCACAATCGGCGCTCGCATACCAGAACTACGTTCAGCGAGGGGGACAGTACGCGATGCCGCCTCAAGCTGGCATGCCGCAACACGCCCAGCATCAGTCATAATTCCCGGCGTACCGCATCGCCCAGCATGACTCGACTTTGACTTGAGCGTTGATACCCGAATACACTGCATTCTCGTGAGACATACAATCGAGGACAGTGATCTCATGATTTGCAACGGTTAAGGTGGTGGTTAGGCGTTTTCCGGTATTGGTGCCCGACACCGCCCACAACTTATTCGTCTTCCGTTGTTCTCATTTTCCGGCGACATCTCATTCTTTCTCACTCCGCTCTCCCTTGCGGGATGCCTGCCCTGCTTTAATAATCGCCGCGCGACGTCTTTGCGCGGCCACGGCCAGCCGCCAGATCTCATCGTTCAGGAAGCGGACTCGCTGGACGGCTAGATATTTGCATGTTTGGTGGTTGGCATGTGGGTCAGGCTGTGGAGAGGGGTGGTCGTTGATTCTCAAAGAAAAGAATGTTGCAGCGCGAGCTCTTGACGCGTTCTTTGCATCGGCAAGAATCGGGCGTAGTGAGGCACAACTTTGAACTTATTTTTCTGCCTTTTCTTTCTGAGTGGCGGCGGCGGAGGTGCATCATTCTGCTCAAGAATTCATGAAGCAGCACACATGAACACACGAGTTCACGACGCAGCAACGAATTGGATGATGGGAATAATGCGCACCACCCGCAGCGGCGGGACGAAGATTGATGTGTCCTTTATGGATTGGCAAGGACTACTTCGACCGCTAACCAAGCCTCTTACCCTCGCCCCGCCCTGATAGACCTACTGAGAAGCTTGCAGTGTCTGCTCACTTCCCATGGTTTTCCGATGGGCGTTCGTCGAGGCATTTGAGATTTTTGAGATTCGTTTTCCAGGGTCTGCTGCGACGGAGAGAGATTAAGGAACGAGAAATCGAAAGAGGGAAAATAGCTACAGCACCTTGTACATTAGTGACCGTCTTTTCTTCATAGACGCTTCTGACATATGCCATCTGGCAAACTTCTAATGCATTCATTCTAAACGACCATTGACGATATGAGGCGGGAGGCGTCCCCCAACACATAGTCAGTACAGGCTCCTGTGGACCGCCCTCGAGGTGATCGTGTAGCTAGCTACACCTGTTCCGCGATGGTCTAACTGTTTTTCCCTCCTATTAACTGGATGACGGCAACGAAACATGATGTTTCAGGCCCCTTAGGCCCATGTTTGACTTCGGGTTTCTCAAGGCGGAAAGGGCTGGATTCCCAACATGGTAACTTACACGGATTGCCACTTAACCTGATGGGGGAGCCAAGCAGCCCACAATCAGCCCTACCCCATCATCCCCATGTGTTCCCATTTGGGGGGCCCCCTTTTCCTTCTGGAAGCACGGAGCAACGTACAAAAAAACGGACGAGGGAAAGGGGGGAAAAAGGAAAAAAAAAAAGAGGGCGTTTCGAGTAAGGTGGGACTGTCGGGATGGCCCGAGCCAAGCAAGATGATATGCATATTTGCCGGACTTTTTTTTTCTTGCCTGATCCGGACAGTAAAGGTATATTTTTCTGAAATGTGTGTGTGTGTGTGTGGACCAGATTGTAGAAGGGATAATTTGCTTATTCCAACTTGCCCATGCACGCATGACAAGTAGGCTATACTTAAAAGACCCTGTTTGCTGGCTTGGGGAATTTGGGGGTGGGAGGGGCCTGTCCGTGTGTGTCGTCGCCCAGAGCATGACTTGATAGTCCCGGCTTCAGGGTCCTGGCTTGACTTGGCGATCCGGGGGAGATGATTTACATGGGGCCTTTTACTGTGTAATGTCGAGTGAGTTATCTACAGGAATCATGTAAAGTGGCTTGTTACCCGTCTTCTGAGCAGTGGTCCCACCGTCAAAGCCGCCCGGGGCACTGTCTGGTAGCAGATCCAGGTGGAGGACGCCTGCAACGGCCATGTCGGACGGGCACGGAGGGAGTGACGGGACACGGTCTCGCACGTTTCCCGGCGTCAATCATCAAACTGGCAAGGCTATTCCGGGTCCTTGGTCCTTGGTTGTATGTGACTTGGGCTGTCAACAAAACCGACCGGCCTTGTTCTTGACTCAAGTACCAACCTACCCGACCGTTCCATCACCACACCAGCTACCTCGATTCGCAGATCGAGAGTCAAGTAACGTCTTTCGTAGTATAGTGGTCAGTATACAAGCTTGTCAAGATTCTCCTCGGAGAGTTCAGCATCGCTTGGGACCCGGGTTCAATTCCCGGCGAGAGAGCTTTTTTGCTGGTGGGTTGTCCGACCGTTCCACCCTGGCATAGCAAACACTTTTTTTTTGTCATGCTGGGCCCGCGGATGGATGATCACTAGTAATCGGGACATGTCCGGGCCCACAAGTTCACCAACTTTGAGCTGGATTGTTGGGTGTAGATATCTCAGGACGGCCGGGCTCGACAGGGCAGAGAGCCGCGAAGCGGTCGGAATACACCTTTCCGTCCTCTGCCGTAAGGCCTCATCGTCGATGGACAGCGTTGTCACAAGCACATCGTAGTGGTAGGAAGTCTTCGGGGGGTGGGTGGAGTCGAGTCCTCGTTGGTATTTATACTCTGTTCTGGCGGCGTATGAAACCATGAAACTCCTCGCGATGACCGTTGCGACCTCGTGTTCGAGCATCCAAGACTTCCTCCAAATCAACCTCTGAGACCTCCTTAAAGTCTGTGCGGCTGACATTTCCTTCCGTGTGCACCCAGATGCTTCAGGGCTGATCCAGCGATGTCATGATCGTTCGGCGATGCAGCCCTACCGGCCCGACCAAGTCGTCAACACATCCGATGGTACTCAGCACTGTGCGTAACGGTGCACACATGAAAACATAGCTGCATTGCTTGTTGTTCCTCTCGGTGTAGGCCTTAAATGTCCAGCTCCGACTAATCGTGACCGGTGGCCAACCAGTCTCTGCGTCGGCGAAGACGCAAGGACCGGTTGACGAGGCTTTGGCAGCATCGTTCGCACCCACGTCGATGCACCGACGCTACCTAACCCATTTCCTATTAGCCTCGATACTAACCGCCCGGCCACCAGTTCCGTCGCGATGGTGACCCGAGAGGTAAGGTGGAATAAGCTTTTCCGGTAGCTGACCATTTCGCAAGCTTTGACTGAAAGGAGCCAAACGTACTAGCCAGAGGCAAGGCAACGGTCCAGCTCCGCGGTGCCAGGACACGAGCCCTCAGGCCAGCTCGTTGGGAGCACCTAACTTCTCTGCTCTCCCCTCTCCCCATCGAGTCTCACTTAGTTCCTGTTGGCTCCCGCGATCGGCTTCAACGCTGCTGTACCCCAGCACGGCCCTGAGACCAACCGCGAACCAAGACTCCTGAGCTGGCCGCCCCTCCAAGACTTTGTCACGGTACTGGCCAAGCACACCGAGAGGAGGGGGAGACACTAGCCTCTCGTCGCGGGAACATCTGCCTTTTATCTGAGCCTAGAAGATAAAGCCTGGAAAGGTGGACAAGGCCATCCTAACGGTGCTGCGTAGCTTGGGAACTCAGTGACGAGTCACATAGACCTTTGTCCACTCTCAATACTCTGGATACTCATCGGCTTAGTGACAATCTCGTCTTGATTACAAGCTTGTATGTGGAACAACAAGGAGACGAGACCACCTGTCGTAGCTGTTGAGACGTAGGTATCACGAGGAGCTGCGTGCTGACCTAAGCCAGGCAACCCGGCAGCTTGGGATCCGAAACAGACCCTTGCCATATCTAGACTACCTGTATGTATCATTGATGGCCAGAAGCAAGGGTTTCCGAGTGGATCCCTTCCCCTGACAGGCAGAATTGAGCACATTTATGCAAGGCCATTTTAGCGGCCGCAACCCGTCGACCCCGTCCTCGGTACATTGGTCTTAGGGCGGTATCTATCACGTACTAACAGAGCGGACGATGGGAGGGCATCATGGATCTGACTTCACATTACCACTATGACTCGTTTGGGTTACTAGTGAGGTTGTTGTGCATTTTGGTGTAGCTCTCTCGCTCTCGCTCTCTATACAGCTGTATACCGTTCACCCGACACATCGACTGCGGCAACATGATATGCCACACAAAGTCGGTAGATAGGCTGTCACAGTAACGCCAGCTCGGTACTCGACGCTCAACCACTCTGTACTGCGTAGACCAAGTTTCCCAAACCATTTCCCCTCCACCCTGTCACATCATCACGTTCATTTCATGTCATAAGAGGTTGGAACCGTCGTCGCACATTGTACAATTGTAGATTATTACATATGATCCTCTGCCCAACAGTGGGATCAGTGCTCGCCCAGGACAGCGTAACGGCCGACTATGAGACTGCCGAGAAATGTGCCACCCAGTACGGACATGAAGTAACCAACATTCATGGTCATGACGGCCAACATGCTGTAAAGTAGAAAAGAATGGAATGATTAGCAATGCGTACACAATACACAGACCAAAGGTGTGTATCACCACTCGGCAATGACGGGGAGGGGGGGGGGTTGTGTGGGGGGACGAAGCGGAACTCACAGCAAGTATCCCACGCCCGCGATGACGGTATCCACCACGGCCCGCAGCGGGTCGACCGACAGCCTCCAGGGCCGGACGTGCGAGCGCCTCTTCCTGACCACCACGACCTCCTCCTCGACGCCGTTCGCCGAGAGCATCATGTTCTGCTTGAGGCTGTCGCGCGAGAGGTTCTCGTGCGCCGCCGGCCTGCCGCTGACCACCACGTAGCGCCTGTCGAGCTCCCGGTCCAGCCACCGGTCCTCCTGCAGGGCCCGGAGGGCGAACAGGCCGCGGAAGACGACGGCCAGCGCGATGAGGAAGACGCACGTGCCCGCGTAGGTGCCGGTGCTGGAGGGCGTCCACCGGGCCGAGTAGAGGGTCGTGGTCATGTCGCTCTGGAAGGTCATCGTCATCATGCTGGACGTCGCTGTTGTGGACGAGCTGGTGGTGTTGTCGTCGCTGCCTGTGCCCATGTCCATGCCGTCCATGTCCATCCTCGCTGCTATGGCGCCGACATGCCGTGGGAGGGCGACCATCCTGGCGTGTGTATGTTGGTGTGTGTGTGGGTGAGTGTCTGAGTTCTTTTAGTAGAGGCTGGGACCGTGTTCGATCGTAGCCGAAGAACTGCGTCTTAGTTCCTGGTTATTAGAACTTTGAGGATACCGGTATGGTGATGGCATGTATCCGTGGATGGAGTATGTAGGCCTGTAGGACTGGCGCAACAAAGTTTGTATTGTGACGGAGCAAATTTGTCTGCGGGAGCTTATGGTTCTTTGAGAGAAAGTCGAAGTATGTTACACAATGGGCTTCTGGAAAGCCTTTTGGGAAAAAGGAAAACAAAGCATGATGTATGTCGAGGTGTGGACTACCGTGACCTTATGTTGGTGTTGGTGTCGTTACTTCGGTATGGAAACTTGCTCAGCGTGGGTTCCCACCCCAGATCTCACGTCGCATTGGGGATTGACTATCACATTGGAGGTAGTCATTCCTGTTAACATCTACCCCAGAGTGCCAGGCTTAGGGCTATCTTTAAGAACGAGGGGCAGAGGGGGATGATCGAGGGTTCCTGTGAACTTGCTCAGGCTAAGCAGGGGTCTGGCACCACACCGCAGCAATTGTTACCGGTTCAGGCCGTCGTCTCACTTTCCTATTTCGAGAGAACTTCCCGATCCGGCATGGACAACGCTTACAAGTAGTACATGATACTTGGAGAGCTCTCTCTTAACTTCTCATCACTAACAGCTATTTAACTTGCCCGACGACGCAGCCCTTTACATACTAAGAATCTACTTCGTACATGGTGTTGTCCTCGCACCACCAACACCGGCCACTTTTCATCTGCCATATTCAGAAAATATTGGCAAACTTCATGCGGAAGTAATCTGCATACGATCTGGACCGACATAATGACGCGATGCAGTCCTGCCAGTCAACCAGACCCAGCCAAGCTTTTCACGGCTACGACTGCCCTTTTCCCAAGGTTTGACTCGAGCTTGGGCTGATGCGGTCCTATCGGAAGTTCTGTAGCCATCATTTAGGAAGTGGCCGAGCGCGATGCATCGAGCATGATAGGAAAAGCACGGCGGACGACAAAACATGACGGACAGAGCACGTGCGGCGCGTGCTTCTCCGCCGCGAGGTCGTCCATCGTCGGTCGTTGGGAACAGGCAGGATGAGACCTAGACATACGGGACAGTACTCCGCCATTATCGGATACAGTTCGAGCTTGTGCTATCCAGTATGGTAGTGTGGAGGAGCTCAGCATGTTCTCGGCCGACGCAAGTCGAGGCTACGGCATGCCATGCTTATATCTGAAGACAGACGCAAAGCTCCATGCCATTTCTGTTTGCTGTGCAGCGTCCAAGACTTGCTGATATGGCCATGGGATTGAACTTGGTCTTGTATGGATGCAATGCCTGGTGCGAGGACACCATCTCACTGCAATAGTCTGAAGAGTGTTGGGTGGAAGGTGCACGATGACATGGATGACTGTCCCTAGGCAGCATGCAACAGCATCGACCAGAAAGAAGTTCTAAAGCTAGGCTTCTGGTTGCATGTGTGGAGGGACCTGGGTACAGCGACCAGTCGATGGAGACCCGAGATACCTTCACTGTCGTCATGGTTAGCAAGTGTCGACTGTTGCCCAAATGGAGACTACCTGTCTGACAAAGTCACACGTGGCGGCTGATACCTCCTCTGTGTCGCCCGTCTGGGTGGACGGATGCACGTTTAACAGGTGGCATCAACAGTCACTCCTTGACAATGTTTTGTTCGTGAATACCAGGGAGATGGGACTGAACGTCGCGGGCCATATCCGGCACCCATATGGACTTTCTGAGGCCCGTCTGCTAACTACTTTGATTTGCGGTCTTAGAAGACACACGGTCACATCTCATCCACTGAATCAACAAAGATCGTCGGAAGGGTTCTGAGCTCTAGCCAGGGGCTTGATCATGGCCGATGTCCCTCTTTTATCAAGTCTTGCAACTGCAGGCATCAGGTGCCCTCGTGCTCCTTTCCGAAGGACATATCCCTCTATTGTCCCGCCTTATTCTGCCACGAAGTGATCCTTCGGGTGAGAGGATGCCAAAATGGCCGACAATCCCAAGAATCCGCGGCCGTGAGAACACTTGAGAGGCTTCCATGGCATTGACAACTCAGTACAAGACTGGCTGCCCCGCCAGATGCTGCACCATTGACCATATCGAATCGAGCACCTGCTCTGTCAGAGGACCAGCTAGTGGTGTACATCCCGATT